AAATATTCTCAGGAAAAAGATAGTTTAATGAAGACTCCAGCTGCCACATAAAATCAGTGAGTGCCTAAGACTTCTAAAGATATTTTCATTCAGTTAGACAGTTTGGCACATCAGCCACCTTATAAACAAATAATTAAAAAAGTAAACATTAAAATCATAAACATGAAAAACTGAGGACAAACTGCCTTCAATTCATTTTTTAACTATCATTAGAGTTACTGTTGTTACACATGGATCGTTAATGTTATCAATCTAAAATGAAAATTTATAATGTAAAATAAAATTTTGAATACTTTCTTAAACAAATGTATAAAGCAAATGCACAGATGGAGAATCTTCTATGAATTTCATACCATCGGAAAGTTTTCATCATGCATGCTTTGTGCAACCTTTCGGGTCGTATTAGTGGTCGTGTAACCCCAGCGGCACAGATGAAAGCCCAGCGACCAATAAGAAGGCATCATAGGATAGCCTGGGGACAGATACACGATAACTCTGAAACACACAAATGCATTCCTTCTTTTTCTGATGCCTCAGGACTCGTTCAAATGCACAAACGCTCACATGCTTTTACAAATTACTATTTTCAAACTTCACATCTCTTGTAGTAAGTATACATGCTTATTACTGCATGGACATGTGTTAGTGAATGTCAGCCAGACACTCATGCTGCATACCAATGATCTGAAGGTACTGTCGTATAACACTTTGAGGGTCAGGACCCAAGAAAATGTAGAGATCCAGGATTCCACCGGTGGACACCCAGGTGAGAGCAGGGGTCGGCTGTAGAATCACCTCTACAGAAACATTTGGGAAGTCAGTGAAATGGCATCAGATGCTAGAATCTGTTCTATGGAAAATGAATTCAAAAAGTGTGGGATGTTGAATCAGAGAGCTCAGTACCAATTGCATTGCTATTTAGAAGGAAAACTCCATGTGCTAAGCCATCCTCTTCCTGTACTATGTAAAATGGGTGGGAGCCATAGAGGTTGGCATCAGCCTGTGGGGAAAGACAGTGTCAACCTCATAAAGAAAGCTTACAAAAGACTGTTTAATATGAATGTCTGCTGCCAGACATATAGTCTAAATCGTTTGAGTATCTGTCCAGAAGGGGGCGCTCCTAACCTTTGAGTTTGACGACTGTTATTGAACCACTGCAATAGACTCACATGAGGTGCCATGTCTCTATTCCAGAGAGTCAGGGAAGTCCAGTTTAGATCCAAGAGGAGAGAGGTGTAATGTTCCCCAAGGCCAGACACAAAAGAAGAGGCCAGTGTGGTAGACAGCTGCAGGTACTGGTCCGCAAACAGCAGAGGAGCAACTGTGGTGTTCATACTAAACAGGCAGAGGATGTGTACAAACAAAAAATAAAGTGATTTAAACATATAAGTGAAATGAAAAAACTACCAGCACAAAATGATAAATATGAACAGAGATAACAGAGCAAATATGAACAAGCTGACTAAATAAGAGTAAGTTATTGACAGACACTATGATGAAACTCACTATATAGTCCATCCTCAAATACATTAAAAATGAAGTGAACTACTCACATCACCCTTCCATTGGATTTCCGTCGCACCATAAAGCCAAATGGGTCAGACTGGTATTCAGTGGTATAGAGGACACTCTGTGTATTGGCTTTGCTCTGAGGAACACCGCCTGGCAGATGAACTTCATACCGCTGAGATGATGGGTCCTTTAACTTCATAGAAAAAAAAGGTTGATAACTATTTTTCTTTGAATTGACAAAGTATGTAAAATAACAGAGGGTCCAATACTCAGTTTTTTCTCAAACTGTGGTGCCTGTCCTACTGGTGGGACTCTTTATTTGTGTATTTCATTTGAAAATTACTGGAAAAGTCAGCATAAATATTCATTCCTAGGTTAATTCAAGGACATTCAAGACAAACGTGCTTTTATAAAATAGATTTGTTGGACTATTTCAAACATAAAAATAAAGCAAAATAAAATTAAAATATTATCCTTGACTGTGTTGTCTTGATCACATGTTTGGGGATGAATGCTTACTGTGAGGTGGAAACAGTCTGCTGTCTCTTGAATGTCATCTAGTCTTAGAGTGGCGATATCTTTGGGGAGGTAGGAGGGGCTGGCACGAGTCAGTGTGGCACCCTGACCCCGAGGAGTAGGTATGAGGGGTCCCATTTTATAGCCAGGATACACACGGGGGTAAAAGCACCAGGGTGGTCCTGCGGAGTCAAGCAGAGGGGCGTAGCAGCATCCCCTGTCCTCACACTCGCTCTGGCTGAGCAGTTTGTCCCTGCCACAGTCAAACCGACTCTCTGGGGCCATGGCGCATTCACTGCCTCTGGAAATATTACATTTCTGGGATCTTTCAGGGTGTATACCCCGACTTGAATTGTTCTGTGGCTTTGCGGGATTATAAACAAGCCGTCCATGTGCCGTGATGTCATGTTGCTCATCCCGAACTGACCCAATCTGTCGTCGGGCTTCACTGGTGAAAAAGCGGTTCATGAACAAACAAGCTAATAAAGAAAATGCGAAGAGGAGCACGGCTACAGTGAAGTGAGACAACAGACCCATCGTGCATTGCTCAGTCTAAGGATCCTTAAATGAACTTTGCGCTGTCTTCATGAAAATATTCAGTGGTAGTAGGGTATGTAGTAGGTCATGTAGCTACATGTAGCAGTCCCAGTACGGTGTCCAGCGGTTATCTGTTCCCTCTAATCAAATTATCCGCAGTGTCGGAAAATAGACATTGTTGTGAAGTTGCGACACATTAAATCAAGACGTCTACAGTGAATTAGGTTAAAACATGCTTTCCGAAAACATCAAAAACATCAACATGAAGCAACATGAAGGCTAACGCAAAACTAGGGCAAGCATACTGGGACAAAAGTGATCAAAATAGCAATAGTTTAGATGAAAAACAGAAACCAGATGGTTATCTTTTATCATTAAAAACATTAATTATATTTCATAAAATAATTATAACTTACCTCCAAATCTGATTTCTGTATTGTACGAATGAGCAGTGGCAGTTACAACCCAAGTTCCAAAAAAAATTGGGACATTATTTAAAATGTGTATAAAAACAAAGTTTAATGATTTGCAAATCTCATAAACTCATATTTTATTCACAATAAAACATAGAAAACAAACTAAATATTTAAATTAGAATAACATAATGGGCACAACACAAGTCTTAAAAAGTAAGTGGCACTGAAAAGAGAAAGCTGGAGAAACATTTTGCAGCTAACTAGGTTCACTGGCAGCAGTAACATGACCAATATAAAAAGAGCATCTCAGAGTTTCTCAGAAGTATAGAAACCAGAGATTTACCAGTCTTAAAAACATATTAAAAAAATTACAGAATAATGTTCCTCAATGCAGAAAGTTTTACTTTGAGTATCTCCTCATCTACTATACATAATATCAAAAGATTTGGAGAAGATCTGGAGAGATCCTTATGTGGTCTCTTTATATTTTACTGTGTCCCAACTTTTTTGGCATTGGGTTTTCTCGTCAAAGGAGCATAGCTGGTTTTTATTTCACTTTTCATTTTCATATTGATATGCACAGACTATGTGACCAATTTAAGACTATTCTGTACACAAATTATCTGAATTATCAAGCCTGTGATGTAATGGCATTGTCCCATTAAGTCTGCGTTATTAGGTGATATTTGTTCCACTGTAAAATAATTCTTTTAGTTTGAGCAGAACTGTAGAAGCTGAAACTGAAAAAAGAAGTTTAATGTATTTAGTTCATTATTATTATTTTTATATATTATAAGGACATAAAAATGCAGAACTGGTGTTTGATGTTTTCTTGTTTCATCACAATGATTGACCGTCAGAATCTCCAGCGAGTACATCTGTTCCTCTACATGTGTTTCGAGAAGACACGTCCCTCCCACAAAGACCGCCAAGTGTTTGGTGAAACACACTTTCATAGGTTGTATATGTTGCAGAGTTGCATTAATGTGACTCATTTTCATTCCAACAACACTGGAATTGTCTACAGCTTCTTTCCCACATGAACCCTCTGCAAAGCTTTGCCATTTCTGGAAGTTTTTCTCTGATTCACAGATGCAGGTGATGTACTCATGACCTTCCATGTCTGTGAAAAACTCATAGGTGTGCAAGAGTGGTTTCTCAACTGGTGATTATAATAGAAATATGACGTGGAATGTACCTTTTGGCAAAATCTGTTTACAGATCAAAGACACAGACTCTCGGAGTAAAGTCATTTTTGTTTTGATCCAAGTCAAAACAAAACAAAAAAAGCAAGAATGATAAGGCTTTGATAGAGATTATGAAAAAAATGCAATACATTTTGTTTTTTGGTACATTAACAGCTTCTAACTTCCATTTTTCCCATTCTGATTTCCTTCAGGACCCACATTTTTTCTAAGATAGTTAACTCAAAGGTGCACAGTTCTTCATGTTACTTTTGCATTTATGCATCATGCAATAGACAAAACTTTTCACATACTTCATGAATTATCAGTCCCACACCCTCTGATGTAATGGAAGTTCATCTTCCAGTTAAGTCTGCATTAAAAGCTGACAGTTGTTCCAATGTTAAATCATAATTTTATTTTAATCTGGAGTGGAGATATCAAATTGAGAAGAAATGTCAAAGAATCAACAACAGAAAATCATAAATGGAAAAAGAGTTTAATGTATTAATTTTTTCTCTTTTTCTTTACATATTTTAAGAACACTTATAATGTAAAATGGAACACAATTTGACAACCATTGATATTGCTATGCATTCTGAATGGTTGCACGTTAGGTTTGCTTACATAAACATGTATAAGACAGCTTGTAAAATCAGTGTACAAATTGTCAACCAAGTATGAACTTCAGTCCTTCTAAACTAGAAGTACAAACAGGAAAACAGAGGAATTCAAAAACAACCAGAACCCTAAAAAATTACATTTAACAAGCTAAGGAATACATTTGTATTCATTTGTAAATTCAGAGTAAATATATAATTTTTTTCCCTTTATATAGTACACTTAAAAAGAACAATTTTAAGCTGAAATGACCCCAAAGTGCTTTCTAGGTGAGGCCAATATTATAACAAAGCAAGTTCAGTTGTATTTTTAAGAACCTTAAATACCTTCACGAATATAATCATGTTTTAAGTTTTGTTTTTTGACCAACTGACTAACAGTCCAAAGCTTGTGGGTTTTTCAGTCATCATCCACAATCTTTTCTTTCCCTTTGGAGTAAGTTGGATTCTAGGCCCACGCTTCAGCAAGTTGACAACCAACTACTTTTTCACAAGGATGTTGCAGGCAACAGGGCCTCTAAAGGTGAACCCCAGGTAGAAGGTGATGTTTTCATTACTATGAGGCACTGAAGGTACATAGAGAGGCAGGATATTGAACTTCTTTTTCTTAGGACCTTCAAGATAAACCACACGATCTTCAGTCCACCCAGAAACCCGCTTCAGCATTGTGGCAATCTCTGGCATCTTCCATGCCTCACCACTAAACCACTTCATGCGTTTCTCATTGACTGAGAACCACTTGGTGATTCTTTCAAACTTTTTCTTGTGGACAAACTTGTCCAATCCATTCCCATTGCCCAGAAAAAAATGGCTATAAATCCTTCTCTTCCGCTGAGGAATGTCTTTCATCTTGCTCCAGTAACCCTTTTCAAGGTGTTCAACTGCTGATTGTACAATTTCATATTTGGTTTCTTTCTCATGCTCTGTGTCGTCATCCTCTGGCCAGAATAGCAATGTAAGCAAGAACAGGGCACTTGGCAAACATTTCCTTTTATCAGATGGAAACTGACAACAAAGTGCTTGTAGATCTTTCAAATGAGCTACCTTGTGAGTTTGCGGTGACAGGCAGTTCAGAGAAATATGGGCCACAATGTAATTGACAATGTCCCTTTGACCGAATTTGGCTTTTAATGGATTACTGGGGTAGAGAGAAATTATATGCTCTAGAAGTTTTACTGCATCCCTCTGATCAGTTATCTTGGAAAGGATGGATGTTATATTGCCGCCACCAAGATGATAGATGATCATGCGTTTTTGGAAAGGAGTGAGGTTGGCTGGGATTGATTTACCATGCTGTAGGACTGCAGTGGAATACGCTTCACTGAAGTACTTTCCATACTCAGAGGATTTTTTTGCCAGCCATGTCAGTGGATGGCTTATTTTCTCCTCGGGACTTTCAGGTGTTTCTTCTTCATCTGCACCAATGTCTGTCTGGAAGTAACTCAGGTCCTCTGAAATCCACTCCAATGCATCCTGCATTGTCTTGTGAAGTTTTTTCAAACGGTTATGGAATGGTTCCCAAACATCTTCAACTTCCTCTGGGATGTAATCAGTTAACAGGTACTTCATACATTCTGCATGGCCATTGGATCTGTTTGCAAACACTTGTAATGAAGAAATCAGTTTGAGCAGGCTGCACCCAACCTCAACTTCGTGAAAAAATCCTGAAGTGTTGACATTTTCCATATCAGCATCAGCTGCTCTCTCACATTCTTGAAAACACTCAAGTGCTTTCAGTGCAGTTTCCACAGCATCTGCTGTGTTTTGCACCGTCTTTGGTACATTTTCAATTGCTTTACATTTTGCTTGGAACCATTTCTTATATACCTGTCCCTTTGTGTCAAGTATATAAGAGTTGTTGGGCAGCTGTTTAGCTGCTGTCTCTGCCCAGTGTTTAGCCTCTTCAAACTTTTCATAAGTATAATGAAGACGAGCAAGTTGTTGTGCAAAGAATGGATCATTATGGAAACGCTCGAATGCTTCCTTGAGCAACTCAATTGCTTTGTCTGGGCTTTTCTCATTTTCACACACATGCTCAATGAAAGGAGAGAAAAAGCTATCATATTTATCTCCTTTGCTTATCCTGGATCTCCGAATGAAAAGTTGTCTCAAAAATGTGAGATACTCATCTCTTCCAAATCTGTGCTCAAAGAGCACATCCTCGTGGAGCAAATCCATCGCCAAACTGCTTTGAGTTTGTTGGGGTCCCAGAAGTTGTTGAAGAATTTCTTTTGCAACAAGTGGGTGGATGATTCTGATTGATTCAATGTGCGTCTTGTCATCTCGAAGGTGCAAGAAGACTAGCTTAGCCTGATCACTTAGAGAGCTCTCAAACTCGTAGTGGCGAAACCTCTCCAAGTGGATCGTTAAGGCAAGCAAAGCTTCACAGTGCGATTGAGAGATGAAAGAGTTTTGAACATTTGTGTTCAGCAATGCTACATAGTGAATGAGTCGAGTGACAACAGAGTGACGGTCAATGTCTTGGAGCAGATGTTTCACAAACTGATGAACGTAAACCTCACTGAATCCTTCACTCATCAAAACAAATGTCAGAATGAATTGAGGTTCATATCTTTCCTCGAGTGCCTGCCGTTTTCCAGAAAACTTTCTCTTCTCTTGATCAGACAGTTTATGAGTGACAGACACATTCTGTAAAGGAGACTCCTTGCATCTTCTCTCTGGATCATGGGAGCGTCTGCAGCTCAACAAAATGAAACACAGGGTGCCATACTGGATTTGTTTAACATTAACTGCAACTTCTAATTCATTCCTGAGATCATCTAGATATTCTTTGTCTGAGTCTTCAGTGAGGAGCAGCACAGGAAGACATCTCTGTGGATCCTTTTCTTCATATTCTCTTAGTTCAACTGCATGTTGTGCAACAACAGAAACTGGATATGAGGGCTTCACAACTGCACACCTTAGACTTTTTCTGTTGTTCCACAGCACTTGTCTTGCCACAGTGCTTCCACCACTTCCTGGGTGATGGTAGATGTTTATGATATTCACTGGAGTCTGGTCTGCATTATATTTCAAGGCATCGTTGAGAAGTTTGGAAGTATCGTGATAAGCATCTCTTTCAATGACCTCTCCAGCATATTTGTTCTCAGCAAGCCAGAAATTCAACCAGGTCACTCTCCCACCATGGTAGAACTGGCGCTCAATGTTTTCTTTTTTCTCATTGATGAATTCTTTGCATGTTTCATTGCAATGATTGACCGTCAGAATCTCCAGTGAGTACATCTGTTCCTCTACTTGTGTTTCAAGACAACATGTTCCTTTCACAAAGACCGGCAAGTGTTTGGTGAAACACACTTTCATAGGTTGTATATGTTGCAGAGTTGCATTAATGTGGCTCATTTTCATTCCAACAACACTGGAATTGTTTAGAGCTTCTTTCCCACATGAACCCTCTGCAAAGCTTTGCCACTTATGGAAGTTTTCCTCTGATTCACAGATGCAGATGATGTCTTCATGGCCTTCCATGTCTGTGAAAAACTCATAGAAGGTGTGCAAGAGTGGTTTCTCAACTGGTGATGTTAATAGGAATATGACCTGGAATGTACCTTTTGGCAAAATCTGTTTACAGATCAAAGACACAGACTCTCGGAGTAAAGTCATTTTTGTCTTGATCCAAGTCATTTCGTCACATGAAGTTTCATTTCCTTTGAAGTCAGTATGGCCATTGCAAAAGATCCAACTAGTTTGATCAAATAAATGCAGATGGTTTGTGAATTCTTTGATGCTCGTGCCAGTGGATATTCTGTAGCTTTGCAAAAAATGCATGTTTGCAGCACGGTACTCAAGGTATCTACTGCAAAGACCTGATATCTTTGAGTCTGGGTCAAAGTCGAACACGCAGAAAATATTCATGTTAATCAGCCAGTCAATGTTACAAAGGTCATCAGGTTTGAATTTGTTTGTTACGAGTATGAACCATTTTTCCTTTTCAATGAATTTCTTACCACTGGTCATCAGCATGGTGAGTTTCCTTCCAAGGTCTTGACACACTTCTGGAGCAATAAGGAAATGATTTTTTTCTGCTTCTTCTCTTTGAGCATCACGATCTTTGACTCTTTGGTAAAAGTCACTTAGGTCCTTGTCACTCACTGGCTCCGTTTTTGAACCCACTCTTCGCAAAATCATCTCTTTCTCAAACTCTACTTTGTTTGTTGATTCTTTGAAGTTTGGCAGACGGACTGCATACACTTTGTTCTTGACAATACTTATTAATGGCACAATGTCAACCTCTACCACATATCGCTTTTCTGTACTTTGTCGATCTATAACCTCAATGAACCTTGGCGGTCGCACACACTGGCGTATGTGCTCTTTGTCAGAGGAGAAACTCCTTTCAATGTAGTCCAAAGCATCGACATAAATATCCTTGTCTGTTACAGGGATACCAGTTATCTCGCCGTGCACATATTCTCCATCCTCCTTGCTGTCCATCACACCAAAGTGTATTGTGCCATTTGATCTGATATTCATACAACCAGCTGCAAATTTAAGAACCTCTTTGGCAAACTTAGCTTGGAGTCTTGTGCGATCCAATGTAGCAGCTACAGCAAAAGACTTAAATTCGTGGCATGGCGATATCAGATTAAAAGCACCTGATTCAGGCTGCAGGATTCTGTGTTTCACATATAAAAAATCAATCCCTTCTTGATCAAATGGCCGTGGTTTACAGTCTTCCTTTGAGATTAACACACATTGTTCCTGAGAAGCGTGGTTCTCCTCAAAGACATCTTGCTCTGTCTCTGTAGTTTGTGCTGGAGGACCATCACTTACTGTTGAAAGAGACTGAACCAATTTCTGACTCCTCTTTTCCTCAAACTCAGTTCTTTTGGAACCAGTAGTTTTTTTCTTTTCTTGACATTTTTGCTGAGAGTTGATAAGCTCATCTCTTCTCTGAATAATCAAATGAGCAGGCCCTGACTTCATGTAGATTTTTGTTTTTAGAAAGTCCTCATTTAGTGTAAGTAGGATTTGTCCATTTACTTCTTCTTCATGGAGCTTTTCTATGTACTGTTCCTTCACTCCAATTGATCTTAGCCAGGTGCTTACTTCAGATTCAGTCCAATTCTTGGGTGACTGCTGAGGTGTGTCAGCTGCGAAAGGACAAAAAAGCAGAACAAAACATGAATTACCCTATGCATAAAAACATCAGTTAAATAATATGTGTGACAATAACTTTTTTTATTTATGACAAAAACTGACAATATATTATACTGCTTCTTTATTTTGAAATTCCTTGTATATTAAAACATTTTTTCGCCGTTCCGCCTAATCGCATTATGTATGTGGCGAGAGGCAAGCTGCATACACAGACATCCTTTTATAATAGCCCCTGTGCAATAGATGTGACATAGGCTTCATTCTATGAGAGGTAGCCCAGGACACAAAGAATTGGTTGCTTTTCCTAAACCCCTGAGTCCTGTTTAGCTAAATGCATAATGCGCAGACAGGACAAAGTGAATTAAGCCGCCTCTGGCTCTAATCAGCAAATGGCCGGTGGATGAAAAGCTGATAGCTCCAATGGTAGACTCCCTAACCTTAGACACAAAGGTAGGCTTAGGGCACAGAGCCACCTTTCTATAATTTGGGAAAAACTGCAGACAGGAACTGTGCATAGAGGTTCGCCTGGCCAAACCTCTATGCACAGCTGGTGCACTATTTCTGTATTGAGTGCCCATTCTCCATAAAGAAGATCTGGAGAGCAGATCTGCAGCAGTTTTCAGTGCCTACCAGCCCAGTTAAATACAAGTTCTTAATGAGACCAGCTTTCTGTTGCGAAACAGAGCAACCATTTGACCTGCTTCAACACACCAAGTGTGTTGAAGCAGGTCAAATGGTTGCTCTGAACTGCTTCAACACACCTGGTGAAAACCCTTGGGGCAAGGGCCGATCCCAAATGGAGGGTTTGATATTTGTAGGCTATGCCCTGGAAGACAAACCTTAGGAATTTCCTGTGTGCTGGACTAAAGCTTATGTGGAAATCATTCTGTAGATGTGAACCAGTCACTCCATCAAATAGATCAAAACAGCACATTTTGTGTTAACATTCTAAATTTGTAGTTTCTGAGATGAGAATTGAGGGAGCGTAAATCCAGAATGGGACAGAATGAGGAAATATCTGGAATAAAAGTCTAGATTAATTTCCTCTTATTGCCCCTCGGCTAAAGAGAGAGGAGATTTTGCTCTCTAAAGCCTTTGTGGCTTCCCCTGTAGCAACTGAACCCACGCCACTGAAAGTGGGTAGTTTTGTTGCAAACTGTAGTCTGTAATCCCTGGCAACAGTTGTTAACACCCATGGATTGACTGCACATGCATCTCTGGCAGCTAATGGACCTGGGGGATGTCTCAGGTGACAGACTGACCTCCACTTTCAGATTTTTTTTGTAAACATCCTTGACTCTATGCCTGGCTGTGGCCATGGTAGTGGCGTTTTTATTTATTTTTTTATCGCCCATAGAGGTCCAGAGAATAAGATCAGTGACGATAAATATCTCCACCCAAACTGTAGGAGTACCTTTATCCAGCAGGTGGCCCAAGTCCTGAAACAGCTCAGCCTGGTAGGCTGAGAGCAGGGGGAAGCAGTTTGAAGATGACTTTGAAGATGATGGAGAGGGGACAGCAGCACTAATACAGAACTGTCAGATTAGCATCTATAGGAATGTCTGAATTTAGCAGATGTAATGAGCTCTTTTGCCAACACTATATCTTCATTGTGCATTGATATTCTGCTTGTAAATAATGATATCTAACTATGTCACACATGGCTCAAGCCTTTTTAGATGTTTTTTTTGTTACTAATATTTGAATACACTTTGTGGGGAAAAAAAGATGTAAGCCTGTGATTCTGAGCTTACAAACAACTGATCTTTTTTTCTCACAGGACAGCCACTGCAAATATATGCTTTACAGAAGATTATGCTGTACCTTAAAGAGGATATAAGTAAATAGCTTACGTATTTAAAATTAGCTCAGTCTTAAAAATATGCAGCAATGATATTAATCAATTTAACACTGATGGGGAACATTTTTCTACAGATATATAATTTTTACTTTTGAAACTTTATGTACAATTTTCTAATAATACCTTTATGTGTATTGAGGTGTTTTCATAGTATTTTATTGCCTTTTCCTAAAAGAATGGTTTGAAAATTCCCCCACAACTTGTCATTTTCAGCTAATAATAAATCCTACTATATTAACAATACTTTATTAATAATAATAATAATAATGAATACCTACTATATTTTTGGTAATATAGTAGGTATTTATTCAACTAAAGAAGCTGTAACATTTAAAAGTTCTTAAGCCAGGAAGAAGGACAATATGGTGAAGATGTGAAGATGTCCATGTAAAGTGCATACATCTAAATATGTTTTAATCTGACTTAATTTTGTCATGTTAAGTTGGTGTAGTAGAGCAGTGATACCGGTCGTTTGGTACCGGGCCCCGAGAGTTGAGGCTCAGGTGTGAAATTTATGGTTTTCAGGGTTTTTCAGAGTTTTTATTGTTAACTTGGTTTCCCTGGGTCTTTTCCCGTGTTTATGCGAAATGTTTACGCGTTACCATAGCAACCAGAGAGCATGTTGTATTTATCCGTGACACCTTAAAGGCCGGTCGGTGAAAATATTGTCTGACATTAAACCGGTCCGTGGCGCAAAAAGGGTTGGGGACCGCTGTAGTAGAGGATGATGTTTGTACTAAAGCAGTTACCATAGCTCAGATTTAGCAAATAGTTAGTCATTTTCAGCTGTCTGGTTATTATACACTGATGATAAAGCCAGTTAAACATGGAATGTTTAAAACAACAAAATACAATTAGTCTACAGAAACCTAAAAGTATCATGTATGTAAAAAAAAAAGAAAAAGAAAAAAAAGGGATCTCATAAAAACAAACTTCACTCACCCATGATTTCCTTTCTTGTTTTGTCACACATCAGTATTGGTTTTTACTTATCATCACATTCCATCTGTCAAAAAGAAAAACCGTCACATTAAGTCCTGTATTATTTTTGCTGGGTCATTTATGTTGTCAAATTTTATCATTAACTTTTGAAACTGGAACTGACTATAACTTTAGTAAATTTTATCTTTCCTGATAGAGTTATTGTACCAAATGTCTCCTGAATCCAATGTGAAATACTGTCAGATTTTACATTAGAATTTACACATTACAAATATTCAAGAATAGAGCTTACTGATATAGGATCTTTAAGGCAGAATACTAGAGAAAAAAAACTCACGCAGTGTTGTGTAATTTATTATTAGACACTAATGTATAGTATAAGGTGCATGTTAACCTTCATCTGATGAACATATATTGCATTCATGGACTACCAAAGGTAATTAATGTCGTCTAAGAAAACATAGATTATTATTATTTTTGCTACTTTTTGTTTCTTTACATATTTTGTCAACCAAAAATCTGTACTAGTTTTCATGAGTTTACATTTGCATTTTAATGATGAACTAATCTGGGTCATTTAGACTCCAATATAAAATAACTGAAATAAAAACACAACCAGGCAGCCCAGAGTCAAAATCTATCCAGTGTGCTGGGTCTACCCCGAGGCCTTCTCACAGTGGAACATTCCTGACAGACGGAAGGCTTCAACTGGCTCTTTCCAATAAAGAGGAGCAGCAGCTATACTCTGAGCCTTTCCCGAATGACCAAGCTCCTCGTCCTATCTCTAAGATAACTGCTGTCGCTTTTGTCTGCAGTCTCATTCTTTCAATCACTATCCACAACTCATGATCATTGGTAAGGGTAGGAATGTAGATGGACTGTAAATCGACTGTTTCCCGCTCGCACTTCACCACCGCAAACCAGTACAGT